TCAATCCATAATCCCACCCATCTGTCACTCCAACAAAGCTCTGGAATTTTACTAACACGCAATGAAAACGCCAATAACTGCTTTCTTCTTACAAATATTTCCCTCCCTGTGTAGACATAAAGATAAAGATAAGATGACTGTTCTTTTTTGTAGGTAATAGCAGTTACAGATTTAGTTTCGCTGAGTGTTATCTCTGACACTCATTTAGCTCGGGTGATAACTGTTAAAAAGAAACATTATCATCTGATGACTAAACATTCCATTAGTATCCCATTTCTGTCAACTGTCAGTGCAGACAGGCATTAATGCAATAAAATTAAATACAGGAAGAGTTGCGTTGCATGTGAAAAATATGAGAACCAGCTAAAGAAATGAACCCTTCTGAAGAGCTTGTTGTTTTTATTTTAATTTATGTTTCCAACTGCAGCTAAAGAGAGTTTATAGGAGGCTGGGTTTTGCAAGACAGCTGAGTTAGGGTTCTTGCTCATGCACAAATGTGACTGGGCAAAGCTTCCTTGCTTTAGAGTAAATATCAGATTTCATGGAACCTTCCCATGGCTGAAAGTTGTATTTCAATGGTACTCAATGGTTAAGGAAGCAAAGTACAAGAAGACAGAGTGGAATAACAATAATAGCTTTTCTTTTATAAGATTAGTAACAAGACACAGATGGAAAATATCATTGCAGAGAAAATAATGGTCTTGGATTGTTTTGTTGCATTCTGAGCAGTTCCTTATATTGGCAAAAAGAGAAGTGGAGCAGCAAGATTTAAGTCTGGATCCTTGGTATATGAGCTTAAGATCAGCTTGTATAGTCTCAATTAACAATAATTTATCACTTCAAATGTACAGATATGAACTGCATTAAATCACTCAGAAGTCCCTTGTGAGTCAATCTGTCCATGTGTATTTATTTTACATGTTGTATAATGAATAGATTTGAAATTCTTGTTCAATTCCTAATGACCGTGCAGTCACCAAGAAGACTGGAAGAAAAATTCAGTAATGTTGCCCTGAGATGGTAGATATTTGGGCACTGCCTCACCAAAAGTGTTGGTACTGATCTTGCATTGTCAGCAATAACCTGCTGTCAATGGAGAGAACAGGAATTTTGAAGGACCTGCAAAAGAAAATCTGGTCTGCATTAATTAAAACTTACTTCTACTTTAATTGCATAAAAAATGTAAACCAGTACAAGAATCAGGAGTTCTAAAAGTACCTGGATTGCATTCCACGATGTAGGTGCCTAAATCACAATTATAGGTGGGCTGTTGTAGCATAAATACTATTTTTTGTGTTAATGTCTAATTCTTAAACTAGGCTAAGTGCTTAAACTAAAATACAGCTAAGATTTAAAAACTAAAATGTAGTTCTGCAAGAAAGATAAGAAACAACTGTTCATGTAGGCTTTATGAGTAGTGAAATTTTTGGAAATTTCCTGTAAACGTCCTCTGATTTGCAAGTCAACTCCAGTCACTCCAGTCTTCAAAAAGGGCAAGAAGGAGGATCCGGGCAACTCCAGGCCAGTCAGCCCCACCTCCATCCCTGGGAAGGTGATGGAACAGCTCATTCTTGATAACTTCTCTAAGAAATTGGAAGAAGAGAAGGTTAACAGGTGTAGTCAACATGGTTTCACTAAGGGGAAATCGTGCTTGACCCATCTGGTAGCCTTCTATGACACTATCACCAGCTGAGTACATGAGAGGAAAGCAGTGGATGTTGTCTACCTTGATTTCAGCAAGGCTTTTGATACTGTATCATACAACGTCCTTGTAGAAAAGCTTAGAAGGTATGGGATTGATGAGTGGATGGTGAGGTGGATTGAGAACTGGTTGACTGGCAGAGCTCAGAATGTTGTGATCAGTGGCACAGAATCTAGTTGGAGACCTGTAACTAGCGGTGTTCCCCAGGGGT